AGGATAGTCCGGGTCGAAAGCCGCTGGTGCCCACGTGCGATTAGTCGTGAGAGCCTCAGCACTGCACTGGGAGTTGGACCACTACCAGTACTCTCTTTCAAGGCCAGAGTTCAGATGAAAAATCTGAAAGAAGAAAGAATAGTTAAAGTGGGTGAAAGTGTTACCTACCAATGATGGTGTTATGGGAAGCGTAGGCAGTTGCAGCTGGCAGGCAAACAGTAAAAAGCCAGAGAAAGCCGGTTGGACTTCGACAGCAAATCGGAATGATGTGTCAATATTTGGTGGGTTGAGTGAGGAGATAGCGCTGGCAGTTGGAGTAGGATATCGGAAAGGAGATCCTGGTTCTGGCACTAATGGAGGCATTGGTGTGCTTGATTGAAAAAAAAACCATGGCCTGAGATCGATGGACTGGGAGTGGTTGCTGACCTCTATCGCACTTCCCAATAGGATTTTGGGCAGGACTGATTATAGAGGCCCCAAAAATCCCTTCGAGTTATAATAAAAACTACTTTTACATGTTCAGTAGCCCGACATTGAATCTTTTCGTTAATTCCCACCAATAGAAGGACGAATTTCCACTTTCGTAAAATTCCGCCTGTATAAGTTCAAATTTCCCTTAATTAGCATTCGTAACCTGCGCAAAAGAAGTTCATGTTGGCATATTAAAACAAACATACTTTTATTTTATTCAATATTTTTGATCACAATTGCGCATTAATTTAAGCGCACTAGCCAAGAATTAAACGCTTGACCACAAAATACATTAAGCAGTTGGGTGGGGGAGGGAATAGCTATCTAGAGGGGCCCTACAAATTGGTTTTGCCGATGTCGGTAACTAAACTCTCCATCTCGAGGTAGTATTAAACAAAACATTAAAAAGTAATTGATGTCTAGGCGGGGGGATTTGTGCAGTGGTTGAGCTCATCTGCGTCAAGCGGTTGAGTGTTCGATGACATCGGCATCCCCAAAGTAGCTGCAGGTTAAGTTAACCTCCGAGATGTGAGATAACGAGAATTCGTCACAGCATCTTCACCACCGGTCATGTGTGAGTCAGCCTTGTAGGTGATTGGCCAGGTAGTACAGCCTGGATCGGCAGCGGTTATAATACTTTATTGTCCCAACTCTCCTCAGTCTATTCACCTTTATTTTGCGTGTAAAAGTCAGCAGCACTCCTGTCCGACATCTAATTTGCAGGATTTTGAAATCAGTTGGAAGCTTTATCTGCCGCCCTCGCCCCGCATTTGGGATAAAAAAAGAATAACAGATTAAAAATGAGGGTGGCCACATATAAAATGCAGTCTGGCAGATGGACAGCTCGTTTTTTGATTACCCGCCCGACTTAACACAGCCTGCTATCACAAGGAAGTTAATTTCTTGCCAACCCCTTTGCCTGTAATCCAACTCCTATGGGAATTAATGATTAATTTTCTCAACTGAAGGCGCATGACTTCATTTTGAAAGGTTGAAATTTTACAAAAAATGCCTGAGCCACCAACTCTGCGATAACTCATTCCATAACAGCAATATCAGCAGCAAATTTGCAGCAATTGTAAGTAGCCTTTAGCGATTTGGAGCGATACATAATGCAATCACACGCTAAAAACAAGTTGAGATAGGCCAAAGCAAGCCAAGTAGCCACGTTATAACAAAATTAACTGCCCATATCAACCGGAAAAAGGCGTGGAGTCAAAATCGAAACTCACACCTGTTGAAGTTTGGCGCGTAACATTTAATAAACATGAATTGAAACAAATTGAGGTAAATGCGAGTCGAGGAAGTGCGTAACGAATAGAATAAGTATACAAAGTTGTGTATCAATAAGAGTACCACAAAGGGCCACCAAAAGCCTTTCCGCCGTATTAAAGCATGTTTACCAACGATGAAGCACCAGAAATCTCGTTAGCAGGTCTTCCATCGAAGCTCACTTTAATTAATAAAGGTATGAGGTATCATGGAAGAAGTTGGGGTGAACGCGAGCACACGTCCGGAACCGCAGCGCCTCCAGTCGGGTCATGTGTGAGTCAGCCTCAGGAAGATGATTGATCAGACCGGATTGAGGCTGCCAGAGACTGGTGCGGACGTGCAAGCTGTCGCGAGAAGCGAGAGGAGGAGGAGAAGGAGCGAAGAGGGGAGAGTCGTTGATAAACACTATCCCATCGCTAATAAAG